TTTTTCCATCCTTCTCCCTAATACGACCATTTCCTGTTAAATGTTTTTCCTTGTTTGTAAGTTTTCTTATATTTGCATGTATTTCCTTGGTTCTGTGTTTTATTTCAAGATCCTCTATTTCTTTGCATTTTAACTGAATCCATGTTTCCTTAGCAGTTCTACACATATTTCGTATTTCTTTGTCTAATATTGAATATTCTGGAGTGTTTTTTGCTTTCTTCCTTTGTGTCATTTTGTTAATAATTTCCTCAGTCATCGATACTTGATTTTTCTTGTTTTCTTTCACTGGTAAGATGGCATTTGCTGTTTCTATACTAGTTTTGAAACATTCCCATTGTGTATTAATTTTTGAGTCGCGTATGGAGGAGAATCACTTGTACAAGCTCGAAAAAAGTACAGTGATTTAGCAGCCGGTTTGAGTAATGAACGGAAACGGGCACTCAAAAAACTTGGTGAGGTGGCCGAAAGGGCATCCAGCTGGCTTTGGACGCAGCGCAACAACGTAGGGGACGGGCCTCGGTGAGCTGGTCCGGGTGTCTAGTGGAAAAGAGTTTCTCATCCCTTCGAAAGTCCATCGTGTACGAATTGTCTGCCAGTGTTCCTCTGCCAACTGCTAATAAAAAGTCCAACATGTGTCGTGTCCGGTAAACCAAAGTAAGCTTGTCGCTCGGTCGTCCAGGCATGCGGACTGTTCTAATTACGCAGCCGTGGCGGCTTCTTATCTCACAGTACCTCCTTCGAAACCACCAAGTCGTCTTGTCTCTGGCCGAAAGTATAACACCATCCGGTAATTCTGTGCGGCGGGGAAGCAGCCCTGAGCTTCATGAACTCAGGTGGGCCCACCTCCGAATACGTTTAGGAATCGTGGGCCGAAACGTGTGTCGAAAGAGGATAATTTCTACTGATGACTGTAGATCCCCGCTGTACTTGCTCCCTGTGAGTTTATTCTTATTGTACGTGGCTAGCCCACAAGACTACCAGGAAAGACTGGTGACTATCGGGAAAGTCCTTTTGACACCTATGGAAAGACTGGCCCCCCGGTATCGCCGGGGGGATAAACTGACATCTGGAGACAGATGTCGACTGTGGACCGGGTTGATCACCCCTAACACAGTATAATACCTCCGATTGCGTTAAACCACAATGAAATATGCCCCCAGGGCCCTCCGAAAGGGGGGGAGAATGAAGGGCCCAATCTGATTGATACCCTCGTTGACGACCTTGCTAGCCCCCGGACTGAGACACTCGCCCAACGTCCGGGCTGGCTCTGTACATGTGGGAAAAGCTTCACGGGGTTGCATGGTCTGAGAACGCATGCCGGAAGAATGAAATGCGAGGGTGCTCCACGCAGTAAACGCCGTCGCAAAACTACTACTCCTGTGGTAGTTTCTGAGTCGTTAGGGAACGACGGGCAGGGGGAACCCCACTCGCCCGGAGAGGCCCATGACGTCGACTGCGGAGGAGCACCTTTGATGATTTCTGAAGAAGTGCGCTCCAGAATCAGGTTTCCACCTGCGAGCGAGAAGGTGGTGTGGTGTAAGTTGGAGGCTACATTATGTGAGGTACTTAAACAAACTCTAAACAAGAAGTCGCTAGGCGACAAGCTTACTAAATTTGGTGATGTAATATATGAACACTGCTCCCGCGAGTTCGGGACAGTAGTTAAGGCACAGCCGGGTGCCAAGCAGAATACTAGCAGGAGGCAGAGGGACATTCTGAAGTGTCGGGCAGACAAGAATGCCCTCAGAAAACAGTTCAAAGCCGCTACGGGCAGCGAACGGGAGGGGCTGTACGAAGTGTGGGTGCATTTAAAGAACAAACACAGTGCCCTCTGTCGCGCCGAGCGTTTCTGTAACAACAGACGAAGAACTAAAAGGGAGCGAGAGAAATTCTTTAGGGACCCGTATCAGTTTGCCCGAGGTCTATTCGAGCAACCGAAGTCTGGGACTCTGGTTGTCAGTCAGAAAGAACTTGAGCTACATCTAAGCAAGATGTACTCTGATAAGAAGAGGAGAGAGCCTCTTGATGACAATCCAGAGATCCTTAGCGGACTCAAACAGCCTTCGGTGCCGAAGGTACCATTTAAACTGGTACCTCCCCTTTGGTCTGAGGTTGAGGACGTTGTGAAAAAAAGCCAGCGGCAAGTCTGCCCCAGGTCCGAACGGTGTTCCGTACGTTCTTTACAAGCGTTGCCCGAAAATCCTAAAAATGCTTCACGTCTTGTTGAGACAAGCGTGGATCCGCAATCACATATGTCCAGAGTGGTCAAAGGCAAATGGGGTCTACATTCCCAAAGAGCAGGACTCGAAGAGTCTTTCCCAATTCAGGCCCATCTCGCTGTTGAATGTTGAGGGTAAGATATTCTTCTCAGTCATGGCTCGCCGGCTCACACAGTATCTGATGACTAACAAGTACATAGATACGAGTGTTCAGAAGGGTGGCATTCCAGGCGTTCCTGGGTGCCTTGAACACGCGACCATGATCTGGGAGGCTATCCAGAGAGCCAAGCATGAGAGAACCAATTTGCACGTTATATGGTTGGACTTAGCCAACGCCTACGGGGCAGTCCCCCATAGGCTACTGTGGCGAGCCCTTCGCATGTTTCACGTACCGACACAGATCAGTCAAATGGTCGAGCAATATTTCTCTAAGTTCGCTTTGCGCTTCTCTACCTCGACGTTTACCACGAGGTGGACTGAGTTGCAGATTGGGATAGCTATGGGGTGTACGATCTCACCTATACTGTTTGTCATGGCAATGCAGATCATGTTGGACGGGGCGGCCGGCTACGGACTGGGCCTTCAAATAGGGGATCACTGGTTGCCGCCACTGCGCGCATTTATGGATGACACGACTATTATAACGGGCAGCGAGGAGTCTGCCCGCACGATCCTGAATAGATTGGACGCGGTGGTCCAATGGAGCGGTATGCAGTTCAAACCGCAGAAGTCGAGGAGTCTGTCAATCCATAAGGGCAAAAGTGTCGGCGATCAGTTTTACGGTGGCAAGGAACAAGATCCCTACGGTTCTGGAGGAACCGGTGAAGAGTCTCGGTCGCGTTTACGATTCGAAGTTATCTGACAGAGCGGAAGTCCGGCGAATACATGAGTCACTGGCTACAGGCCTGCTCGCGATCGAGCGATGCAGGCTGGTCGGAAAATTCAAGGTATGGTGTCTCCAATTCATGTTGATTCCGAAGCTTCTATGGCCACTGCTAGTCTACGAGGTGACGATGACTGCAGTTGAAGCCATGGAAAAGAAAATCAACACAGCCTTAAGAAAGTGGATTGGTGCACCGCCTTGTCTGACCGACGTGGCTCTGTATTGTAAACAGGCTAAGCTGGTACTTCCGTTCAAGTCAATAACCGAAGAGTTTAAAGTCGGCAAAGTTAGGCTCGCCATGCTTTTGCGCGAGTCCTCAGACCCAAATGTCATCGCTGTCCAGCCCGCTCTAAAGACTGGCCAGAAGTGGAGAGTCCTCGATGCGATTGAATCTGCTCAGAACGCACTAAAATTGAAGGAGGTGATGGGTTACACACAAACCGACCGTCGAGGCCTAGGGCACGGGAAAGTCAATTGGTGGTCAAAGGCCTCAGCCAAAGAGCGCCGAGACATGGTGATACAAACGGTGAGGGACAACGAAAACGAGGTTCGGGTCCAGAAAGCAGCCCAACAGTCGCAGCAGGGCCATTGGGTCAGCCTGGAGAGCGCATTGCCTAGAATACTCACATGGGGTGAGATCTGGCGGATGACCCCGCTGCGACTGAGCTTTATCGTTCGTTCGGCGTACGATGTATTACCGTCCGGTGTCAACATGGTTAAATGGTCTGCGACCAACGATCCGACTTGCCCGTTGTGCAAATCAAAACAAACTCTTGAGCACGTCCTGTCCGCGTGCAGGAAAGCCCTAGGTCAAGGCCGATATACCTGGCGCCACAACAAGGTGCTAAAGGAGTTAGCAGCCGTTGTCGACCAGGCTAGAATGAGGGCTAACGCCAGAGCCAGTTCTAGTATCGCCCCCATTCGTTTCCTCAAGGCTGGGCAGGTTTCGATTGGTAAGGTCAACAAAAACGCATTCGCTCCATCTGTGCTAGACTCTGCGAGGGACTGGTTACTGGCGGTTGATCTGCCAGGACATGAACGGTATCCCGAGTTGATCCGTAAAACCGGCCTGCGACCGGACATCGTTCTCCATTCAGCGCAAAAACGGCAACTCATCCTGATTGAGTTGACGGTCCCGTTTGAGTCGCGTATGGAGGAGAATCACTTGTACAAGCTCGAAAAGTACAGTGATTTAGCAGCCGGTTTGAGGAGAAACGAGGCTTACACAGTGCGGGTATTTGCCGTCGAAGTGGGAGCGAGAGGCCTCGTTTCCACTTCGCTCTACAATGTGGTGAAAGAATTAGGATTGCGCGGTAATGAACGGAAACGGGCACTCAAAAAACTTGGTGAGGTGGCCGAAAGGGCATCCAGCTGGCTTTGGACGCAGCGCAACAACGTAGGGGACGGGCCTCGGTGAGCTGGTCCGGGTGTCTAGTGGAAAAGAGTTTCTCATCCCTTCGAAAGTCCATCGTGTACGAATTGTCTGCCAGTGTTCCTCTGCCAACTGCTAATAAAAGTCCAACATGTGTCGTGTCCGGTAAACCAAAGTAAGCTTGTCGCTCGGTCGTCCAGGCATGCGGACTGTTCTAATTACGCAGCCGTGGCGGCTTCTTATCTCACAGTACCTCCTTCGAAACCACCAAGTCGTCTTGTCTCTGGCCGAAAGTATAACACCATCCGGTAATTCTGTGCGGCGGGGAAGCAGCCCTGAGCTTCATGAACTCAGGTGGGCCCACCTCCGAATACGTTTAGGAATCGTGGGCCGAAACGTGTGTCGAAAGAGGATAATTTCTACTGATGACTGTAGATCCCCGCTGTACTTGCTCCCTGTGAGTTTATTCTTATTGTGCTCTGGATTCTCCCGTCGATATTGTTCCATGCTTTCAACTAATAATCTGTCATATTTTTTTTTTAACCCCCACTAGGTACTGCTGGCTTATTTCTGGTTGTTTCAAAGCTGATATGTCTATGTGGGGTGACCTTTGCGTTCTTATTCCTGTGTTTTTAAGTTTAATTTGTATTTTTATTACCACAGGGTTGTGATCTGAATTTATATCCGCACCTGGGTATGTTTTGGCTTTCTTGATATTGTTTTTGAATCTGTCTCTAATCATTACATAGTCAATTTGGTTTCTATTTATATCTCCTGGACTCTTCCACGTAAACAGTTTTCTAGGTGGATGTTGAAAAAATGTATTACAGATAATGAGCTGGTTCTCTTCGCAAAACTGTATCAGTCTGTGTCCTCTGTCATTTCTTGATCCCATGCCAAATTGCCCTACAATATGTTTTTGCTTCTTTTTCCCCACTTTTGCATTCAGGTCTCCCATAACTATTAGGACCTCTGATGGTTTTACAACTTTCAGTGTTTTTTGTAGTTCTTCATAATATTCTTCAAGATGTTCATCACTGTAGTCAGTTGTTGGTGCATATGTCTGTATTATTGCAATATCAAAAGGTCTTGCCTTGATCTTGATCAATATAATTCTGTCATTGTGAGCCCAGAACCCGCTAATAAACTTCTCTAAATTTCTTTTCATCAACATTCCTACTCCACGTTCATGATGTTCTCCTCCAGAAATAATAAATATGTAATCATCTCTCTTTAGGCAGCTAGCTTCTGTCCATCTTGTTTCTGATACTCCCAAAATATCTAAATTCATATTCTTTGCCTCAGAAATTAAACAGTCAAATTTTCCGACTTGATATAACGTTCTAACATTCCATGTGCCAATGCGAAGACATCTCTTTCTACTTTTCAGATATGCGATGTCAGAATGTGTCCTTTCAGGAGAATTTAAGGCGCACTCGTCATTATGCTCTACCCTAGTCAACAGAGGATTTGTCTCTTCCCTGTTTGTATTTACAACAGGCATTACTCCAGGGGGCCAAGATGTGCCTGCATCGCGTTTTCTAACTTGTTTTGCTTCCATTACTGTCTTTGGGTGTTACGTTGTAAGGTCCCAATCTTTTCCACGATGGCCAGCCATGTTTTCCTTCGTGTTCCAACACGCCTCATGTGTGCCACACACTTTGCTTTTTCGCTTTGCAAGCCGTTGATCTATTTAATTGGATTCTTCCGCCTTGCTTACCGTCTCAGTCTTTGTGTACTAGGGATGGACATCTCCCTTAGTATGATATTACTCCCACTTCACTCATGTAGTTTAGCCAGTCAGCGAAGACTGTTGCCCGTGGTGTGGCCACCGCCGTACCAAGCGGTATTCGTGGAGCCATACATGAGCTAGGTAAAGAGATGAGAACCAAATAGGATCCTGGACTATCCAAACGGATATGGCTGCCACTCACCGTGAGGTACAATCCCTCTCTCTTTACCCTACACATACTTAGTTACTACCAGGGCACAAAACCCTAGATCTAGTGATTCGTTGCTACATAAAACGACCGTCCCAGCCTTTCCACCGGCTTAGCTTAAAAGATATAAAAGTAATACGAATTCAGGTGAGATTTATAATGGTAGGGAGTAGCTGAGACCCCATATAAACCTTAGCTGTATCCTGAAATATTTTTTAGTGATCCTACTATTCTTTGAGTCTCTATCTGAATATTCCGTGAATTCATCAACCTTGATACTTGTCCGTTGGACAATGGTAACTACTTACTAGTTCCTACTTATTATGAAGTTCCTTAGGTTACTATTCACGGTTAGGACAATTCATTAGTGAACCCTCTATCATCTTGTCATTCTTTCTGGGAATATTCAATTGGTTTCCTTGCGTAAGGATTTTACAGTATAAACCATCATCCTGTGCCATACGGTATCATCAGTTGTGTATACCCTACATTGCCTATGTTTATTTTATTATGAAACCTAAAATTTGAGTAACAGTGAGGGACCCTTTGTCGCGTCGTCAGCTGTATGGGCATATGGGGCTGGCCTGTGCTTTATAGACCAAGTGGCACCTGTGTGTTTAAATGGTCAACATCACACCTGCTGCCTTTACTCCCCGTGACTATACCTGATGTTCATTCAAGGCGAAGTCGACCTGGGTCTGTAAGGACTCGAACTCACGACTGTCCAATCCGCATGCGAGATTGTGTCCACAAAATCATGTCAAGTTTCAGATGACAGTGCAAAAAATGTTATATGTATATATATAATACTATAAAACGTTAGAGAGATTTATGATTGATGATTAATGTTATTTATGTTCGCCGGGAAAGACAGTGTTTGTAATACTTTGCTCTTTTCCCTTACTACTCTGATAACACCAAAAACACCGCAACACTTCTACCCACCATAGATGTGTCAGCATAATCCTCACCAAAAGGATAATTGATGTATTTTCCAGGATCTCTATAACTACCGTAGATTGCCAACACTGTAAAATGGAAAGAACTGAGATCCGAATTTAATTAAACAGACAACGCGTTGAAGACAGCCAATGGCTACTAATGTTGCCAGTTAAGATATTCCACCCGAACGAACATAAAGCTGAGTGACGTTTGAAATAGATGATGTTCTTTGAATTGTTGAAGAACTGAATAGGATGTTCGGGGTTGGGTTGTATCAATAAACTTGTTTATTAAATATAACCCAGCTGTTTGATTATTTCAATTGATATCTGTTTTAATGCCTTGTTTGATGAAGTATTTTATTCTTTGATTCCATTGAGTTCAGTAATGAATGTATTAAAGTTTGAGTATTCTCAAGTTTATTTAGAAAAATAAATATTAATTCAGTTCTTTTCCGGGGATTCACCCTATTAGTATGATTATCTGAGTTTCCCTCCCTCTCTATAAACTCAGGGACCAATAAATTTCCCCTAGACAATCTTATTTTGAGCCCTGTAAAACATTTAGGAGGGATTATAGAGGATCTCCAGGCGAGGATAAATTCCACCAAACAGCAGTAGACTACTCTCTTGATGTTGTTAAACGACGTACTCATGTCGTCAAGATGTGTGCTCTTTAAACATAAAATAGGGCTCGCAGTGAAACCTCCACTCTTTTCAATCCAGCGTAATCATTTTGATGGGAACAAGGGAATCTAGCCCGGCAACATTCATCACAGGGTTTCTCTTGGACATTAGCTTTCCCTTAGTATTTCCTTCAGCATTTCATCAGTCAATGTGTTTCTCATTTCAGTTTGGTGATTCTCTGTCCACTTATCCTTTTGCTGCCCGTCTCACTAGTGTAATTGGCTAAACCGGATTGCGCGGTGAGCGGGTGACGAACTCCTTGTAGTCCGGGTTCACTCCCAGGGGTGGGCAGAAAAGCCAGATTTCTCCCAGATTTATGGTATTTAAAATGGAATTAAGGCCGAAAGGTTGCGATATTCATAATACCGAGCCTAAGGGTTAACAACTCATGGCTTCTGGATACTAAAACAAACAACAAACAAACATACTTTTGCTACCTCAAACCAATAAATCTTAATTTCTCCTTAACTTTAACCTTAGAAATGTTTTCTAAATGAAAATGTGAAAAACTCAGTGTGCGTTCCGGGACCCATTTTGGGGGAATATCATGGACCCACAAGAAAGACGTTTAGAAGTGGACGAACATTCCGAACTTTCCAGCGGAGTTTACAGTAAGAGCAGGAAGAAAAAGAAGATTAAGAAGAAGAAGAAGAAGAAGAAGAAGAAGAAAAAGAAGAAGAAGAAGAAGAAGAAGAAGAAGAAGAAGAAGAAGAAGAAGAAGAAGAAGAAGAAGAAGAAGAAGAAGAAGAAGAAGAAGAAGAAGAAGAAGAAGAAGAAGAAGAAGAAGAAGAAGAAGAAGAAGAAGAAGAAGAAGAAGAAGAAGAAGAAGAAAAAGAAGAAAAAGAAGAAGAAGAAGAAGAAGAAGAAGAAGAAGAAGAAGAAGAAGAAGAAGAAGAAGAAGAAGAAGAAGAAGAAGAAGAAGAAGAAGAAGCAGATGAAAAAGAAGAAGAAAAAGAAGAAGAAGAGAAGAAGGAGAAGGATTAGGAGGGGAGGAAGAAGATGAGGACAGAAAGAAGGAGCAACGCACAGTGTAGAGACTGTTTTCTCCTGTAATTAAATAGGATACAAAGGTAACGGTTTAATTAAGGATTCATTAGATCAAGTTTAAAGTTTACCTAATTTATATTCACAGTCCAAAATATCAGTATCAAAATTGCTTTCTTATATCACAGCGCTCTCAATGAACTAAACTTAGATTTAGACAAACCTGGCTATCGGCTAATTATTGGGGTATTGAGGTGCAAGTTTCCTTTGCAGTGAAATGTTCGGATACCCTCGAAGTCAATAGAAGTTAACATTTGTAGCGCCAATTAAAAAATCAGTTGCCACCTCCACAGTGAATGGTAGCTGCAATAGATGAAATAAAACGCTCTATCTCTTGTCTTAGTTGAACAATCTCTCAGACCGCTGCTCGTTCCTTTCTTGATGTTGTCTTCCCACTTGATAGAACAATGATACTGGGGATCCTTGTGGAGTACGAGTTACCAGATACAGTTTTAAACACATATAAATGACTCTATGAAGGATATTAATGCAAAGGAGAAGTAGGACTCATGGATACATAATACTTCAGAGTAACATCAGGAGTCCGACAAAGGTGTATTCTGTCACCTTTCTTGCTTCTCATAGTGTTACGAAGAAAGCAGCCACAGGCATACGGACGGGCCTTTTGTGGAGCCTCCTTGAAAGGGTGGAACATTTGGACTTCTGTGTCATCAGCCAAAGTAAAGAACATCTGCAACAAAAGACAGATAAGATCACAGCATTAGCAAAACAGACAGGGTTGTGAATCAATGTCAATAAAACAAAACGGCTGGAGATAAATCCCAAAAGGGAAAGACCTATGGTAATAGGTAATGTAAGTTTGGAAACAGAAACTGACCTCACCTACCTGGGAAGAAATATGCCCTCATGTGGAAATGTAGTGCTTGAAATCAAGCAGAGAATTACAAAAGTGAATGCTGCTTACAACAGACTTTAGAGTATCTGGAGATGAAACATCTATAGGATATACAAAACATGCTTTAGGACACTTCTTCTCTATAAAGCAGAAACATGGAAAACAGACAGAAAGATAGAGTGCATGCTAGAAGTTTGGAGGAAGTCTTCTCAGAAGATAGTTGGGTTCACATGGGAAGGTTAAATCGGCAATTCTAGATTACAACAAATGACAGACTTTTAAGGTTTTTAAATAAAAAAAAAAAAAAACCAAGATGAAGGTGATTTGGACACGTCCTCAAATTTGAAGAAAGAGAGACCACCGAAACCGGCAATGCAATTGATACCACAAGGACATCGGGGAAGAGACAGACAAAAAGAGGCAGCGTGCACAGCAGGAGTTTGCCGATCATCAGTAAAAGGGTCCCTAGTCGACAATAGTTTCAGCCCCCTATCCTCCAAGACAATTTTGAAGAGTGGGCCAACCTGGGTGATAAAGCTAGGACTCAGGCATATTCTGCTGCTCGTAGCGTACAATCGAAATCAGACAAGACGAAAATGTGGTTTTGCAACTGCTAATCTGAGGTTTGGTGATAAATGTATGTATGCTGTCAGCCTTCACGAACAAAAAGTCAAGCTTACGATTGGCTCATCAAATAGACGTTAGACTTTGGCAAATGGCAGAGAGACACTAGGAGACGTTTGGCTTTTAAGGGATGTAAAGTTATTTCCTCTAATAGTTCAGACTAGTTTACCAAGGCCCATCCCCCACGACGTTCCGTTTCGTCCAGAAGCAGCTCGAAGCCTTCTCTTCGCCTAGCTGTTTTAGTGGCAGTTTCCGTTATTTCCTGGCAAGCCCAGATGCTTTAGTACATTGTATGTGGAAGTGGAGATTTTCTTGCGCTTACCTCAAAGGCGAAGATTTTTTATGTGTATGCCTTATCGCTACTCAGACCGGGCAGTAGATCACCATATTTTTCGAGCTTGTAGATGTGATTTTCCTCCATCCGCGACAAGTACGACACGCTGAGCTCTATCAGGATGATATTGCGTTTTCCGCAGAGTGTAGAACCATGTCTGGTCTCAGACTGATTCTTCACATTGAATCAGAGTGTTTCACGAAATCAGGCGTCGGCCACCAGTAACCAGTCCCTCGCAGTCAAGTATCCACAAAGCATGTGCGACCTTGTTGATTTTACCTTTAGAAATGTCTAGCCTTGCAGAATGACAATGGGGGGGGGGGGGGGGCTGGGAAAAGGCGATGAGAGGGGCGTCAGGGCTGGCTCTAGCGTTGATCCTTATCCTGGCTTTATCCACAATGTCCGTTAACTCTTTCAGGAACCTTTTGTGGCGCTACGTCACTGACCTATGGCTTTCCTGCACGCGGACCCTACGTGCCCGAGAGCGTCTGTTTAGCTCTGCAAAGTGGGCATATCGGGTCAGTGGTCGCATCCCACTTGGCCATGTTAGCGCCAGAGAGTAACATGTCGTAAGCAAATGTTCTAACAAAGCTCAGACGCAGCGGGGCCGTTCGCCAGATCTCACCCTCTGTGAGTACTCGTGGCAAAGTGCTCTAGCAGCTCATTGCGGGCCTTACCTTGCTGACTTTAAACTCTTCGGATATTGATTTGAACAGAAGCACCGGCTTAATCTGCTTACAATAAAGACCCACGTCAGTCAGACAGGGCGGCACCCTTAGCCATTTCCTCTTGTGTTGATTATCCGCTCCATGGCCTCCACTGCGCTCATGCTAACTTCGTACACTAACAGCGAACTAAACCTTGAACTTTTCAGTCAGCCTGCATTACTCGACAGCAAGCATGCCTGTAGCCAGTGACTTATGTATACGCTGAATTTCCACTCTATCAGATAGCTTCGAATCGTAGATGCGGCCAAAATTCTTTAACATAAATGCAGATTATTGTATTTCAAAAGAAAAGACATCCAAAAATAAAAAATAAAAATTACAAGAAAATAAAAATCACAATAAAAACAGAGACGAATGCTTTAATATGGCCACAGTCATTCTAGAAATAGGCCTGATGTCTTCCCTCGAAGTCGGAGTACATCTTCCCGTGAGGCTTGGAAGGGTGAAAGCCAGTAAAACGGTTGTACACGCAAAACTCAGGTCCAGGTAAAAGCCAAAAGTTCACGCAGACGATTAACCGGGACCTTCCGCCGGAATTCACAGCCGGCGAACGAAGAAGAAGTAGAAGATATGCATACATAAGAATATGTGCCGAAAAAGATATACAGTATAGACCCGTAAACATTAATTCCGAAAGACCGAAAATCAAGCGCTCATTTTAAAAAGTTCGTGCTAACCGGGAAAGAAAAGTACAGTCTGGGTCAAACTGATGAACAATGTCATGTTAAAGTCTCAGTCAGAAAAAGAAGAGACTAGACATGACTAGACTTTCACGTGACTGTACATTGTGGCCACACCCTTTAACCAATAAGTATTGTTTTTTTTTTGCGAGGACTTTAACTCTTTGAGTCCCAAGGAACGCATCATACGTTCATAGATTACTGCCTATAGGCCTAATGAACGCATGATGCGTCGATTTTACATATCTCCTGACTACCCTTGGGCCTGTGATGCTAAACCCCCTGGGACTCAACGAGTTAAGGATGTATGTGCTTATGGCCAGTACGTATTTAAGAGGATCTAGGATTGGTCTTCATGGCTACCATAGCAGCAATCCCTCGCTAGCTGCCTGGGAAATCATTCTTCGCAGAGATTTTTAGTTGTTGTTTTCTTGCCTGGGTCGACCTGGGATCCATTGTAATGACATAAAACTGGACTTAGTGAGAAGTGTCAGGTTTAAAGAAACCATGCATCCCTGGCATCATGAAATAAATCAGTTATGGATACGACACCAGAAATGTCAGACCACGATAAAATGTGATCAAACCAACAAAAGAAAATACGCATAAACGCAGATATATACATATATATAACCTCACACATCTCCATACACACAAAAACACATGTTTAAAAAACTGGATAACAAGGAAAAGAAAAAAACAATACTTATTAATCAAAGGGTGTGGCTACAATATACTGTCACGTGAAAGTAATAGCATCATGTGACTGCTAACATCTTGACTATAAAAGGCAACACTTGTCCAAGCAGACTTCACTCTCAGGCGGGTATCTTTACAGACGCAGTCTTCAGGGTAAAGATTTCCATGCAATTAGTTGCTAAAGAACAAGCTCATATTGTCATGACTGCTGCTTTTTTTTTTTTTCAGTGTTCTTGTTCATGTTTTTCTTCTTCTTCTTCTTCTTCTTCTTCTTCTTCTTCTTCTTCTTCTTCTTCTTCTTCTTCTTCTTCTTCTTCTTCTTCTTCTTCTTCTTCTTCTTCTTCTTCTTCTTCTTCTTCTTCTTCTTCTTCTTCTTCTTCTTCTTCTTCTTCTTCTTCTTCTTCTTCTTCTTCTTCTTCTTCTTCTTCTTCTTCTTCTTCTTCTTCTTCTTCTTCTTCTTCTTTTTCTACTTTTTCTTCTTCTTTCTATTTTTTGTTTTTTTTGTGTGTTTTTGCTGCCGCTATTGCAGTCTACACCACGGCTGAGATTTGTGCGTCTTTTGACCGGTACATCATCAGGCACTTGTTGCCAGAGTTAGTTTCCCCGGTGTTCGTTGTGCAATAACTTAAATTTTATGTGTATTAATTTATGTCTGTAAATATTATTTAGATTTATGGTAACGCAGTTTAAATTATGCTATTGAAAAAAAAAAATATTTTTTACGTACTCTGTTTGAAAGTTTTATGTCTGTTATCAGATGTTCAAACTTGCAGTCTTCGCGCTGGCTCTAGCTTTGGCATCAGCCAACCTTGACGCTAACTGGCTGATCTACAAGAAAACTCATAAGAAAAGCTACGACGAAAGAGAAGACGCTGTCCGTCACCTCATCTGGAAAACCAATCTCCAGAAGATTGAGCAGCACAATGAGCTCTACGCCCAGGGGCTGTCCAGTTACTCCATGGGGGAGAATCATTTAACGGACATGGTGAGTTGAATATTGTGAACGGGTGTCAAGAAACACGTTTACCACTACGGTAAGGCCAGAGAAATCACAGATCTTCAATATCCACATTTTCTCTAAAACAAATTTGCATTGCCATGAAAAACAGAAGCATCACAAATAAAAAAAATTCATAAAAAAAATAAATAAATAAATAAACCGCTAAAAGGTCAGGAATAGTGCCTGTGTGTATGGACAATGTATAACATACTGGTAAGAACAACGGCATTAACTGGTGATGGTTTTAAAAAAATATGAGAATCTACTCAGTGGAGATTTAAAAAAAAAAAATAAGATGCAGTCTTGGGAAGAAAATTTGTTGCACTATCGTCCGTTAGAAGGTAGAACAAGTTTTTATTTTAAAATATTTTTTTTTATTATTATTTAAGAATATCACTCGATCACACGGCAAACAGTTGGGAAGGAAGAACAAGAAGCCAAAGTACAATTCATAATTAGTTTAAATCACGTTTATTAATTTCATCGTGATGGCTATTGAACTGAGGGCTTAGCCGCATAGAGAGAATTGCAAATGACATAGATGCTAAATCTGTGTACACAATGGGGTTTGAATGGCCGTAGACCATAAGGCAGATCAGTAGAGTCATGGAAAAATAATTTCCATGCAGACTTATATACATGAATTTACAAACTGGAAAAAGAGAGCCAGTTACCGAGATCAATAGAGGTGGGTGATGTCTGCACCAGTGAATATTAAGGCATTTGAATACTGAAGAGATCACTTGATAAGGAGGTCCAAAAAACAAAAATGGCTACGATGTTTGCCCTCAGACATCTGATACCTAAGGTGTTTTATTTTTAACAATGTGGGTGTTTAATAATTCTCACAGTTTAACGCTGACAGCACTACTAAATAATTCACCCTAGCTGTAGATGCTCCGGCAGTATTTTAGGTGTGGTGGAGTTGGCACAATCCTGGGCTTTGTGTTTTCAAAAATTTACTTTGCCTACCAGGTCGACCCAGCTTTAAATCGAAACCGGGTGAAGTCTCAAGAAGTCAAGACGGCTGAAGTGATGATGACCACAATACCTACTGAATGTCGATTCGCCTATAAAAACAATAATTAGGTCAAGCACTAACCACCTTATACGTACGCATGATGACGTAGGAAACTATCCTTTACTTCAAGTTTGAGTACCTAGGCTCTACATTAAACCCTTACATTTTAGCTTGATAGTATTACCCTTACACATAGTTGTCTCGTCCGTCAGACAAATGAGGAAGTAAACAGGATGATGAACGGCTTGAAGATCAACAAAAAGCTGAATCCTGGCAACTACACGTCTGGACTTTACAAAGACAGCCTTCCTGATGCAGTCGACTGGCGTGACAAGAACGTGGTTACAAAGGTGAAAGATCAGGGCCAGTGCGGTTCATGTTGGGCTTTTTCAGCAACTGGAGCTATAGAAGGTGCTCACGCCATAGCCACCAATCAGCTGGTCAGCCTGTCAGAAGAAAACCTTAAGGACTGCGCAAGTAAATATTTTTTATGTAAATTATTGCGGTCATATAACCACTAATGTGACTACTACTACTGCACCTGCTATTAATACTATTATTGCGACTACTACTACTACTACTGCACCTGCTGTTAATACTATTATTGCGACTACTACCGCACCTGCTGTTAATACTATTATTGCGACTACTTCTACAAATTGAAGACCACTACTACTGTCACTGCTGCTGCTCCAACAACAATATTTAGCACTGCTACTTTTACGACTGCTAGCAGTAGTTTATCTATTGTTGCTGTTTCTATTGCTTTTAGAATGTTACCTCCGCTGTCACAAATGCCACTACCACCACCACCACCACCACCACCACTACTACTACTACTACTACTACTACTACTACTACTACTACTACTACTACTACTACTACTACTACTACTACTACTACTACTACTACTACTGCTGCTGCTGCTGCTGCTGCTGCTGCTGCTCCTGCTGCTGCTGCTGCTGCTACTACTACTATAACATATACGTCTTATTCTTTTTTTTTTATACCCACGTACCCACATCTGTTATATAGCGATACTAATAATAAAGCATCCAGAACAATTTTAAATTTGTACAACCGCATTATTTCTGCATCCCGTGTAAATATGGTACTTTTATTAAAAATATATGGACATTATTTAACAGCTAGCTAATATTGTAAGTGCGGCGTCCGTGGATTAGGCGTTGCGAGTGCAACTAGCAATCCAACGTACCGCGATCGAAACCCACTGCTGGCTGTGTGAATTTTTAGCATGGTATGGGGCGTCACAGGTCGACCCAGCCTAAAATGGGTACCAGGATGGCTGTCCTGGGAAAGTAAAAACGGCCGGCGTAACGCTGACCACATTATCCATCCAGTGCCGATTGGTCTGTAAAAATATGGGACGCTCTTCCCAAATACACGATGGCCCTAAAGGCGTTAAAATGGAACTTTACTAATTTTTTTTACCTAATATTGTAATTAAACAGAGTTTAGATGTGTATCTTGTTTGAAAGGACGAGACACGTCCTCGTGCAACTACAGCGGGAGAACCTTTTCAAGATGGCCTTCTACTATCATTTAATGTGGTCTTGAAAGATCATTCTCACGGCTTGCATTCAAGTTTATCTTTAAAAACAGTCCGAGGTAACCCGCAGAATGGAGCGCCCATAAAAAGAAAAACCTGTGGAAAAAAAGGGGGGGGGGGATGCGGGGGCATTAACCCGTAACAATTTTAGAAGTCCATTGTTTGTCATTTAGCTTCAAAACAGCATAACTACAATACATGCTACTATCACGAAGAAACACGTAGTCTCCTGCGTTGGAAACGGGCATGAAACAGCATTATTTGACAAGAGAAAACTGTCGCCTGAAGGAAGATTCACACCTAGTGAACACTAACACACCCGTTCTTAATGTTTAAGAATCAGTATCACAGCACTCAGGACATTTAAATAAGCGCTGCCCATCTTCAACAACGAGCAAAGAATTCCGATGGTACCAGTAACAGTTCACTTGTATATCCGTCTCACCTTTCTCTAGAGTGTTGATCGTCAGCCAGATCGCCTGGTCACTACTTGCAGCACCATTTTCCTCAGACCGTAATGATCAATCTGTGCTTCCGGCCCTCCGCCCCTCCCCATGGCTCTTACAACATCTAGCTTGTCATGCAACAATTCATAAAAAGCCAACAAGTCTACCTGTTCATCATTTATGAATACACCGGTATGCCTTGGAGAACAATAACTACATGGGATCTCTAATCATCATCATCAGTTCTCGTTATGCCTAGTGGCACATGAGGCTTCAGAGAAGACTTTCCATGATTTCCTGTCCTGTGCAATCTTCAGTGCAGTTTTCCATGTCAAAGATGCCGCACTCAGGTCACTTTCCATCGTTCGTCTCCATCATGTTTTTGAGCGCCCCTGTTTTCTCTTTCCCTCTGGTGTCCACGTGAGAGCTGTTTTAGCAGGTATATCAGGATTCATTCTCATAACGTGGCCAAGCCATTTCCATCTTCTCTTGATTATCATACTGTCTAAAGTTTCTTGGTTTGTTACTTAAAGTAGTTGAGTGTTTGAGACTGTATCTGGCCAGAAAATTTTGATAATTCTACGCAAACATGTGTGGTGGAAGGTGGACAGCTTGTGTGCATCCTTTTTAGTCATTCTCCACCATTCCGCTCCATAAAGAAGAACTGGCAAAATGATGCTCTTGTAGAGTCGGAGTTTCGTTCCTCTGCAGTAATTGTTGGATTTCCAGATTTGCCTCATCCTTTCAAAAGCAGCTCTAGCTTTGTTCAGACATGACTGTATGTTTTCCTTTGTTCCTCCCAGTAGAGACACCACAACAATGGCAACAATGGCATCCGTCAGTCCCGGGGGACTATGGAGATGTGCCGCTGGCTTTGGGAACAGCATCTGCTGTGACTGTAAAGTCCGATGCGGGAATGGCAGTCTTTGCCACACAGGATACACACAAAAGCAGATACTCCCTCGTTGTGAGGCAGTTTTACTCTCCGGTGCCCCTCTGTCAAAATGTGACAGTCCATCTTTCACTTTCTGTCTCCATAGTAGTCGATCTGCAGCTGATTTTTCTTATGTCTCTGTGCCTATGTTGGTATCTATTAGGTCACGTTTGCATACATATTTATAGCGCAGCTTTGGCCTTCCTGTAGGTCTATTTCCAGTCACCAATTCACCATATAGGAGATCTTTTAGAATACGACTATCCTCCATGCGAGAGACATGTCCCAACCAGCGCAAACGTCTTTGCTTCAGTATACAAGACATTGATGGTATTTTTGCTCTTGTTAGCACACATTCGTTGGAGACAAGGTCTCGCCATAATATACCAAGGATGCGTCTCAGACAGCGCATGTGGAAGGTATTCAGTCTTTTTTCCTGTGGAGCATAAAGAGTCCAGGATTCGCAGCCGTACAGTAATGTGCTCAGGATACAAGACTCATAAACCTTCATTTTTGTATTATCAGTTAGCTTTTTCTTTGACCAGACTCTTTTTGTGAGATTTGCAAACATAGCAGAGGCCTTTCCTATACGTTTGTTTAGTTCTGCATCCAGAGAATGATTGCTTGAGTTACGTGAGCCTAGGTACTCAAACTCATTTACAACCAGCAGCTGATGGTCATACACACTAATGTTTTGTGCATTTCCAACATTCAATCCCATCACTTGTGTTTCGTTCAGACTGATGGTAAGCCCAAATTCTTTGCAAGCATTTGCAAAGCGATTCTTCAGGATTTGCAGATCATCCTCTGAATGTGCCACAATGGCTGCATCATCCGCAAACAGAAAATCCCTGAGGCATCTCGTGTGCACCTTCGTCCTTGCACGTAGCCTGGACAGATTAAAAAGACTGCCATCTGACCTCGAACGGAGGTATATCCCCTCAGTTGCTGTCCCAAATGCACTCCTCAATAATGCGGTAAAAAAGATGCCAAACAGCGTGGGAGCCAGAACACATCCTTTCTTTACTCCATTTCGAATCTGGAAGGGTCGAGATGATGAATCCTCATATATTATGGTCCCCCTCATATTCTCATGAAAGGATTTGATTAGGCTCAGTAGTATAGGTGGGCATCCATATTTTTCAAGGATCCCGAATAGACCATCTCTGCTGACGTCAAAGGCCTTAGTGAGATCTATGAAAGCAATGAGCAGTGGCCTCTGTTGCTCTCTGCACTTCTCTTGTAGCTGCCTGATGAAGATCATTTCAACTGTTGATCTCTTGGCCCTTAACCCACACTGTGATTCCGGGTAAACTCTGTCCGCTAGAATTTGCAAACTTTTTAGGATAACACAAGCAAAGACTTTTCCCACATAATTCAATAGAGAGATACCGCGATAGTTGTTACAGTCGCTTCATCTCCCTTATTTTTATAGAGAGTTATAATGTTGGCATCTCTCATATCATGTGGCACCGATTTGTCTTGCCAACACTGACAGAGGATCTTGTGTAGCTCAGGAAGAATAGCATCCTTGGAGCATTTTAGGATCTCAGGTGGGATACCATCCTCTCCTGGGGCCTTCCCTGAAGGAAGCCCATCTACTGCCTCATCGATTTCTGTGACGGAGGGTTCCGTGTCTAGTTCACCCATGGTTGGCAGACACTCCATTGCATTTAAGGCCTGTTCACATACAAAGGTGCTTGTAGCATATAGCTCTGAGTAATGCTCCACCCAACGGTCCAGCTGCCTTGTCCGATCCTTTATGATTTCGCCCGTGGTTGATTTTAGAGGGGTAATCTTTCTTTTTACTGGCCCAATAGCCTTCTTGATGTCAGCATACATTTCCCTTATATTGCCAGTAGCTGCTGAGGTTTGTATCCTCTCACAAAGTTTGATCCAGTAATCATTAGCGCAGCGCCGTGCAGTTTTCTGGACTCTAGACTGAATGGACCTGAGCACTTGCAGATTTCTGATATTTGGCTGGATTTTATATCTCAATAAAGCCTTTTTCTTCTCCTTTATTATTGGCAACATTTCTTCCTTGTGTTCCTCAAACCTGTCCAGTGATTTAACTTGCCTCTTACCTAACACGGACATGGCCGAATCATATAGGGCGTGTTTTAGATGTTTCCACCTGTCACTAGCATCCGCGTTTGGTGGGCCGGGCAGAGCTGTGCTCATGATTTTTATAAATTCTCCTACTTTTCCAGGATTACGACTTTCTCCTGTGTCAATGCGGGGCCGTCCTGGCCTCTTTGCCCGATGTATTCTGCTTGGGATTAACTTCACTTTGCAGCACACAAGGGAGTGATCTGTGTCACAATCTGCACTGTGATAGCTGCGAGTGACCTTTACAAGATGAAGGTGACTGCGTCTAGTGAGGATGATGTCAAGCTGGTGCCAGTGCTTAGATCTGGGATGTCTCCAAGAGACCTACCTTGTGCTGGGGCTTCAGATCAAAAAAGGTATTTGCAGAGGTTGTGAAGACAGCATAGCTCAAGCAGCCTCTGTCAATTTTCATTCATTT